TATTTTTACATTGAAATTAGACACCTGAAGTTGTGCAGTTGATAAAGGCTTTATGCATAAGAAAATGTGTCTTTTTCATCTCCTCTTCTTCATTCTGTACTGTATTACTTTTCAGTGATTGCTACTGAAGATCTCACTTTTGCACTTACCAAGATAAAGGGAGTTAAAGAAGTTATGTAGTAAGATTCTGTCACAACTTTTTGCTTAGGAGATGAAGTACTATTCATATGTATCTTCTCAAATTATTCCATGGACTCCCTAACTAAAATAAGTTTACAGTTTGGTTTTAGTCCCCATTTTATATGTCCTCTCTTTCCCACTGAGTGCTGTGGGAATTTTACATCAGAAAATACAGGAGAAATCCTTATTTCCTTCAAGGATTTCACAAGTATTTTCAGTTTTGTGGCACAGAAGTGCAGAAAAAAACCCCCGTAGATTATGAGCACAAAATCATTAAGTGCTGACAAGAAGAAATTATTTGTGTTTATTTTGGGTCAGTTTTCTAGAAAAGACAGTATGGAACATTTGTATTGTGTTCTTTATTTCTATTTGATTTCCTATTCTCTCCCAAATTGAGGGGAGTATTTGTTTGTTTATTTTCATCTCCAGGAGTCTTTCCAGATGGTGCTGTGTTCTTCTGGCTTAGGCAATTGACAGCATAAGGAAGGATGGAAACTAAATGTATCTTTTCACAAGACATTTTATCACTTAATAAAAAAACTTCTATGCATAAAATGGCAAAATTTCTCTTGAGTAGCCACTTATGTTGGGAGTTACAGCAACCAGAATTTCTACTCTAGAGAGTTCTCTGGGAATTGGTAATGCTCTTATTTCTTTCATCGTCTAATTTACAGGCATTTTTAAAACGTCAGTTCTCTGTTCTTGAGGTTAGTGTGAAGTAATCATCATATTCTCTTTGATGGTAAGGATAATGTTGCCAGGTAAAACGTTAGCTGTGTTAAGGCAATATGCTTTCATGTACCAAGATTCATGGTTTTGAGCTTAAGGAGTTACTCGTTCTGTATTTCCATTTCAGCTGTCTGAGAGGAGAGGATTTGGTTGCTACCTAACTCTGATAGACCATATAGTCTTGCCTGGAACTTTTTTTTTCCTTGAAATTTTACAAATTAGTTCACAGAAGAAGGGAGTAACAAAAGTTTGAATTGACCAGGACTGCTGTTACTTCACAAAGAATGATTTCCATCTGTTTTTCTGCTCTTCTTACAATCTTACTTAATAGTACTCTACACAGAATAATGTCACAGGAAGAAATGGAAGTAGATTCATTACACTTTAATGAAATGTTTATGCTATTCCGCTTTATGTTCTCACGAGCAAACTTAAGAGGGTGTGGTCTAGGTGAAAAAGCAGATGGATGCTGAAGGAGTTGGGAAAACCTGTAGCTGCTCTAGGATAGCAATTCAAATGAAGTATCCCACTCAGCTACTTTGGGTCCATTTTCTATTACACTTTTTTTTTTTTTGAGGGTGGCAGTTTTGTGTTTTGTTTTTTTTTAAGAAATACAATGGCAAACTTGTAAGATCTGAAGGCACTAAGGAGGCCAAAATTGGAGTTCATAATTGTTTTAACATGATAGAAAAGTGTTCATAATTGAGTAAAAAAGACATATGAGAATTGCTAAATGTGAGGAGAAAGAAAACTTACCACTACAAAATTAGTAACAGTTCTGCTGCAGTTTTAGGGATTGTTATGGGTCATGAGAGAGGAATGTGTTGGTTTGTTTAAAGTGTACTAACCTATACACATGCATGTAAAGGAAATATCTCTATGTATAGATGGATCTATATGTATATAGAACATCTATGTGTATAACAGAACATTGTGATAAGTAACTTAATTTCTGCTTAGGACCTGTGAAGTCTTAGCCTGAAAGCTCTGTCCAGTTCTCAGCAAATGCAGTATGTTTGGGTTGGAGAGAGACCAGAGAACAGCAATAGGAATAAAAGGTTTAGTCATCATTGCCCATGAGAAGACGTTAGAGTAACTTGGATTTTCTTTTTTCAAGCTAGGGGAAAAAGATGAAGGGCACACTTTTTCCAGTGTGAACATGTTTTTTTTACTGAGGACAGTTCTTGACTGTTTTCCATGTCTACTGAACAGATGAAAAGTAATCAACCTTTTTTGTAAGTGAAGGCTGCAAGATTAGAGACAAGGGGAGATTTTTCTGACTCTCTAGGAATAGCTTATTGGTATTGTAGATTGTCTAGGATGGCTGCAAAATCTTTCACTAGTAGATTTTTAAGGGCGGATTAAATCCTCTAAGTACATTTAACCCAGTTTCCCAATATGGGAGAAGCCTCAGTGACCTCTTGAGATCCTTTCTAACATGTTTCTCTGATTATGTGGGATCTTTTCTGTTTATTGGAGGGGGATTTGTTCTGTTGTGTTGTTTTAGCATCACTATACAGGCTTTATTTGTGTGACAGTATTCTTGCATACTGCCCTGGATACCATCTCTTTACTGGATGCTGTGCTTCCAGGTTGTCTATACTTAATTTTCTAAGTACCGAAAAACAAATGCAACTATGTAAGTTACATTTGTCAGGCTTCTTACTGTCAAATATACTTTACAAAATATCTGTATGTAAGGCTTTCTCTTTGCTTATAGCTTCTTCACATGTAAACCAAGATGGATGTATCCATCTTCTTTGAAAAATAAGATACTTACATTTGAAAGGACAGCTAGTCTCATTATACATGCAGTTTGATTTTGGTAATGTTCTAGTTCAGACTTTTGCTGTCAAAAGATTACTCTGATCAGGCTGGGGCAGTCTTTTGTATTGGTGCAAGTTTTATTTGTAATTATTTCTTGCTGCTGCTGTTTAATATTGACCAAAAGGAACATCCATTCTTTTGTGCAAGTCTAATACCATTCTAAGGTATTTCCTTTGGTGACATTCTGAACTGGATTGTCTGGAAACTCTTTACTCCCTCCCAAAGTCAGTACTCCAGAATGAGTGCCAAAATGATTCTGCAAAATTGTAACAAGTCCAGGAGTTTATTTGTTGTAATAATTATTATTTGTTTTTGTTTGCCTCACTATGCAGTGAACTGCCAGTTAAACTGTCTGTTGTTTGCAAAGCAAGGCAAACACAGTAAGATAGCAGTAAGACCTTGAAGTTGGTATATATAGAGTGAGTGGCCACCTGTCATCAACTTGTCCCTATGGATAACTTCCAAGCCTGCCAGAGATAGAAGTTACAAGTTTGGTAGATGGATGTGAGAGAAGATGAGATTTCTTGGATAACTGTATGTTCATTTGCAAAAGGCTGCAGAGTATGAAAAAAGTGATACATTCAAGAGAGAGTGAAAGAGACAATTCACCTCTAAATATTAAAGTCCTGCTACTTATGCAGGTTTAGTTAATTCAAACTTCCTGTGCCATCCTGGGATTTTCTAGTAGCTTTACTGCAACTTTCTGTTCTGTCTCTCTTTTCTTGTAATTGTACTTTTTTTCCAGGATCATGGTTTTGTTTTAAGTCATGTGCTATTTTAAGTATTGTACTTAGGGTTGTGAAAATAGCTGATGTGAGCTTTTAAGAATTTGTCTCTCTGCCTCTTAAGCATGCAGTTGTAAAAGTCAGCTAGAGGCTTGCGTGTACTCAGTTTTGGTGCTCAGTTCTTTCATGCTGTACAGAAGAGAACAGGGTGAGAGGTGGTTCTTCCCCTGACTTAGGTTGTATCACAGGCAGTGCCCTCTCTAGTAGGGGAGAAGGAAGGACAGTGATATGCTGACAAACAGTGATGACCCTAATACAAAGGTGATAGTTCTTCATCTTGGATGAGGGTAAGGAACACTGTGAGACCTTCGTAAGAGCTGGGTTTTTACCTAGAACTATATGTTATCTCTAGGGCTTTCCTTGTAAAGTAAGTGAGAAAGTATTTAATTAAGTTTCATAGTTTTTAGAGGACACTTCATGTGATGCCACCTAATCTAATGACTACTTCCACTTTGAAAGTCTGTGAATGCATTGTTTATCTGCAAAACAGTAAAACAAGTCATGTAGAGAGCAAGTTATTTTTGACCTGTTGTTGCTTGTTAAAGTAATGTGAAACTTTCTCAAAGTTATCAGAGTTGTTCCTTGAGACTGGTGGTAAAAACAAACATAGGCTATAAATGTAGTTAGCCTGCTGGGCAGTCATACAATAGAGCCTTTGTTCTTAAGAGTACTCAGTTGTAAACTGGGTCATGAAACTATAGCCTTCTGATTTGAGGAAAGGTGGGAAAATACCAGCTTTTTTTAAGGACCTTTAACTGGCTTGTGGACAGTATTGACTGGTCACTTATGTATTTCAGATACAGTTAAAAATAAATATTGTGTCTACAGTTAAAATAATTTGTTATTTGGCGTTACTTAGGAATTGGAAATGGTGATTTCTTTCACAGAAAACATACACTTAGCATCTCTTGGGAAAGACTTCTAAATCCAGGAGCTGGTTCTCCAGTGATCTGCTGTGTGATCATTCTGCTGCAAGATAGGTTGTGTGAACATTCTGCTGTGTGAACCATTGCTAACTTCAGCAATGGTGCTAAAGACCTATTGATGGTTTTCCCTGCCCCCCTTTCACTCCCGATTAGACGAACTGATGACCCTGGGGAATAAACTAGAAGGGTTCTGTCCAGAAAGCAAAGGGAACCTGTTAATGACTGTCCCAGTGCTTAACTAGCCATGAACATAATTGTTAACTCGAGGTAATGCAAACACTCCCGTCTGGCACAGCAAGACTCAGTCTGCAGTGTGTAAGGAAGTTACATGATTTTTTATCTAAAGATACGTTGTCAAATATGTCTTACAGAAGCATATAAATTAGAATAATGCATGGGTCTTAGTAGGTTTTGACTAGACTTAAGAATCGTTAGCTGCATTAGGCTGATAAAGGTTGAGAGAAAATTTACCCTCGGCCAGTTTTTGAAGAAAACTGTAGCAAACAGTTATGGGGTGGGTTTGGATGCTTAGAGGCTAATTTCTGTTTTAGTCATGTTGAGATGCAGCCCGGGGGAAGGAGGCTATGTAGTTTCTGAAGGGTCACTGACAAAGCTTTCTACAAGTAAGTTAATCCTTTCAGTTTGTTTTTTCCACAACATGTGTTTGGCTGTTGTACGCTTATTAACCTGTAGTTGTAACTGTTGCTAGTGAAGATGTGGGTTGAGGTAGGAGGATTAAACATAAGGACAAAAGAGCAATCTTTAAACTGAAGTATAAGATTGGCAAAAGAAGAAATAGATACTGCTGCTTGTGACTAAAATGGGAAGAATCGGCACTGTACTTTGTCTCAGGAAGTGGTTTCCAGTACATGTTCAGTTGCTGCTCAGGGTTCCTTGTGTTAGCAGTTGTCTGTTTTCACTTGCTTCCTATTAGCTGCTCTAAAATATATATATATGAATGATTGTCTTGATAAATGAAGTGTATTATTTCTATCAAATGATAATGCATCATGTTAGTTGCTTGATCTGTATGTGGATAATAATTAACAGTAAAGATAAAAATTCTCAGGCATTAGTAACTTGAAAGTGCAGCACCAAGCCACTTCTAGTTTTGACTGACTCGGTTTGTTGTGAACTCCTAAGGTTAAATGTTTAAAAGCAAGGGCCAACAAACTAAAACGGGGGAGGAGGCCCAGATGTGAATGTTGGTGGAAGGTACAGTGGCCATTTATACATACCTGCATAATGACTTTTCAAAAGCATAAAAAAAAATTTACTTCTTTGCACCGAGCATGGATTTAGATATTTTTGCTGTATGTTGTCCTGTAGGTATACTCCTTAAGAGACAGAACATATCAAGACCTCTTTTGGTGTTTTTTGTCTCTCACTTGTGTGTTAATTATTCAGCAGATCAGTCAGACTTTTCTCAGACTTTCCTGTGGCTCATAAAACTTGTCCAACCAATCTTGTCCTTCAGCTGGAAGACTGCTGTCTTTGGTAATGACATAAATTAAAGTATTAAGCAGCTTTGTCATGGACTATTATGCAGTTGCATCACAATCCAGACTGTCTTAATTATTCTTTACCCCATATTGCCTCAGGCTGTGACCTCACAAGCTAAACAAGGTCATGCTTGGCTAGGATGAGGGAAGTCAAAGGAATACAATACTACAGGAAATATTAGTGATTCAGTAGGTGAGGTGGCACCCCTGAGTTAATGTTTTCTCTGTGCCACAGAGTGGTAAAAGATGCTGCAGATCGTGTGATGAGATGTAAAAGCAAGATTCTTTGTTAAGGTTCCAGTGCTATTCCTAGTTAAAGTGCAGATGTTAATTCAGGACTCTTGCCCAATTTTAGATTTTAATGGCTATGTTCTCTATACGTTTCTAATTTATGTTTTAGTAGAGTCATATTATTGTCTTGCACTTGTCTTCAGCTCTTCTTAAGAGTTGTTGGGAAACTGTGTTCAGAGGTGCTGATATGTTTGTAATTGCCAACAGATGAATTGGCAGAAACAATGGTCCACGGTGATGTATTTTGAAATCAAGGAAATTTATATTAATGTAAGACATGACAGGTCAAAACTGAAAAGCTGCCATATATTTATTTTCTATTAATGTGTGCAGAATAGGTTTTTTGCTTGAATATACATATTTGCAATGCAGTTTAGTGTACTCACACTTACATATTTTTATTTTTCTTAGGATTCAAGTGCCCTGTATGTTCAAAATTTGTATCTTCTGATGAAATGGATTTACATCTTGTGATGTGTTTGACAAAACCGAGGATAACCTACAATGGTAAGAAAGAAGTAAGCTGATAATTATTTCTTAGTTTTAAACATTAGAGAGATAATAATTCTTTATTTCTAAGATACTCTTGTAACTAATTCAGTGGACTCGGAAATGGTGTGTGTTTTTAGCTTGTAGTTTATTTTTTCAAAATAATTCCTAAGAACTTTGTCTTTTTTATGCTGCCTGCCAATATAATTTACACTCTTTACTTGTACTCCAAATATAGAATTATTCTTATTTGAGTATGCTTATTCAATTTTTTTACCACAAGATCAGATATCGGTCAGAGTGTGTTTAGTGTCAACTTGAGATATGTGTGGCTTAAATGTCCTCTTATCTAGTGACATCAAGTAGTGATTTAGGTCAGTCAGGTCTCCCTCTGAGAGTGTTAAGGACTGTTTCTTGACACACTGTGCATTTGCACATGGTTAAAGAAAATGACCCTTTCTTGAAGTAATTAAAGAACTTTCTCATTCAGCTCATTGCATATGTGATAATTCATAAAGACAGGTAGATAGGCATGTTTTTATTATTTTAGTGAAACTTGCAAATGTCAAATGAATCACCTGCAGTATTTCCCTACTTTGAAGCTCTCCTTCTTGGCTACCTTTGATGCAAGGCAAACAGGATTTTTGGTACTGTTGGGATCAAACCTTTCCATCACTGTGACTTAGACTGACAGTTGTGTGGCAAACACACAAAAAGGTTTCAGAAAAATAGGAATTAGAAAATCTTACTGAAATCCTAGTGCCAACACTGGCAAAGCTGTCCTACCATCAGGAAATCTTACAGTCCCTTCTGAATGTGCTTACTGCTCACCAGTCATCAGATGTGGAATATATAAGAACAGAATGCAATTACAATGGAATTGTAGAGGAGAGGGAGTCAGACTCTTTTTGCAGGTGCACAGAAAAAGTTGAGAGTCATTTGTCACAAGTTGCATCTGGGAAAACTGATCAAATGTGAGGTAGAAATACTGCATAATGAGGGTGGTCAAATACAGTACCAGGCACCTGAAGAGGCTGTGCAACCTCCATCCTTGGAGATAATTGGAAATTGACTGAACAAGGCCCTCAGCAACTTAGTCTAACTTTGAGCAAGGGGCTGGACAAGAAGACCTCCAGAGCTCCCTTCCGAGTTAAGTTAGTTGTTGTATAAATAAGCTTCAGTTTTATGGGCTCTTTGACCCTCCTGGCTGTTACAGTATCCTACACTGGATTTTTTTTTATTGGAAAGAATTTTGAAGGATGGTTGGGCCCTCCTTCTTCTTTGTCTGGATAGCAACAATGCTGGCCCTTAATTGCAAAAATAATTCCAAATCATATACTTAAAGTGGTGAAATCCATTTAACAGCACAGCACTCAGGAAAAGTAAATACATTTTTTTCTCCTGATGTTACTGTACATATATTTGAGAAGACCGACTTCATGTAACAGAGAGGACTTGATTTCTCATTGTTTTGCCTTTTTAAATTTAGGACTGAGCATATTCCAAGATAAGTTGATAGAAGTCTTTGTACTGAGGGGTGTTGAGATGTTCAAGAGGGATGTTCAAGAGAAGCAAGCTAGTTGCCCCAGTCAGGGAGGGATAACATACTTGGGATCAGTTAGGGTGGAGCAGGAGAAGGCAAGATGGCAGAGAGCAAGCTCTGGCAGTAATCCCACTAATGAGATGCGCACAAATTATGAATTGATTGAGTGAAATCCTTCGTCCCTGCTGCTTCCTGCGTGTACATACAAGTGCACTCAGGTGACTTTTTTTCCAAGGATACAGCAATTATGTAACCTCTCAGTATTATTTATGGTGTTCATTTGTGTTACACTGGTGCCATATTCTGCCCACCCCCCCCGTGCTTTTTCTCTTAGCTGGCACGCTGCTGGTTGAAGCTTGTTTGGGCCATCCTGTTAACTTTGCTCAGTCCATTAAGTCAACAAACTTCCATATGAATGAGCAGAAGTAAAAATTGTGAGTGGCACCTGAAGCCATTCTGGATAATCTGTAGCATGACAAAAGCAGTTGTGGACAATGCAACATTATTAGTAGCAATATGTCATTTCTCAATTTAGGAGTGTGTCTGCTATGTGAAGAACCTCAGAAACTCACTCTAGGAAATGGTTATATAGGCTTGAAAGGAGAAAACTACTAAATTACATAGACTGGCTTGAGAAAGACACTTAGAAGTATGTTCTCATTCTCATAAACACTTAATAGAAGTGTACATCGATCTTTTTAACTCCAGTTGGTTAGCTCCCAGAGTCATGGACTAGATCATGAAGTATAGCCTGTAGCTGGTTATTTGCATTACTGCAGCACAAAGAAATTGATTATATGGCTTCAGAGTTGTGCAGTGCTCAGTTGTTACTTTGGCAACTCCCTTTAATGAGACCAATGGAAGAGAATTAACTAGCAGATTGGTAACGTGCTGCCATGATTACAGGCCCAGAATTGCATGTGAATGTCTATAAGCATGCATTTATTTTTTTTCTTGTATATTTTGCTGTTTGCCATGAGATCATTGGTGGATCAGCCTTTTTGTCATATGCTCTAAGAAAGGCATCTCAAGTTTACCTTGAGAAAAAATCAACTGCTGCTATCAGCTTTTGATACTTTCTTCCAAAACAGAGACATTTCTTTATGCTTTACTTTCTCTTTGTTATCTTGGCCTTATGCCATACATACTCAAATAGAGTCAAGTAGGCATCATTTGCATGTGTTGGTCACTGGTGGTTCCCAGTCCTACTACCACAGCAAGGAAAGTGTAGTTTTCTTTTTTTCCCCCCCCTTTTTTCCCTTCACCTTCTTTTCTTTCTGAATATTGTGTTGCAAGTAGATGGAGTGTTAGACTTGGCAGGTTGTGAGATGTTTAAAAATTGAGCTGTTGGATTGAACCATGTTTATGTCTACTTCTAGATGTGTTTCCTCATGATACTGTGAACTTACTAGCTGTTCTTTCTAAGAAAAAACAGGGAGCAAATTGTATGTATTTTGTCATTCTGAGAAGACAAACCTTCTTTCTTTTTAAATGTGAGTTTGAGGCATACAGTCTTCCCCAGAAAGGTGTTGTAAGACTGTTTAGTTGTGATTTGAAGTTTAAAAAAAATTTAATGAATCCTCCCAACTAATCTGTAATTGCTTGCTGAGCTACCTTTGTGCATTCCGTTTGTCAGTAGGGTCAGTGAACTGTAAGCTCTGGCAACTGTCTAATTTACATGTGTTTTCTGAAAGAGCGATCACAAGTTTGTCCCAGTTCTATGCTGGAAGTTGTGCTGATTTTCATATAAATTAATCAGTATATTTTATTAGCCTTATTCTTTCAAAATCATGTGACTTGCCTGCAACAGAGATTTCATTGCTGAGTCAATTTGGCATGTAAAAAGAGCTCTTTCTTTTTTCTGTGGATCTTTGTTCCAAGTATCTTTTAAACTACTTGTGATATGCATGCATGAGCTAGTATCTAGACATCTTGATACAAAAGTTGGCTAAATGAATGGAATTGTACAAAAGCATTGTGGTGTTTGGTGTTACTGTTTTTAACAGGCTTGCCTAGCAACTAAAGCTCTCTTCATATTCTTGCTTGCTGAATTTCTGAGAAGCCAGAGTAAGTCCTGTGCACTGGTTAGCCACAGCTTCCCAAAATTCAATTTTATGAAGAAAGTGGCTTACTTGCTAGTTGACAGATTTTTTTGAAAGCCATTGCTAAAATATTATCTAGCCATACTTATTCCTTTGAGCTTCTCCACAGTGTTAAATAAAGCTCTTTGCACCATCTTGTTCAAATTTGCCATGGTGAGTTATGCAGGGAGCCCACTTAGGTACTACACTGTGCAAGATGTTGCTTGCAGATTGGCCCTGAGTTTTGGTCAGGCAGGGGCATTTACTTGAATAACCTTCAACAACGTGCCTATAATTCCTTGCTGATGATTAGACTTACCTGGTGAAGTGTATGTTTTGAATACAATTATTGTTGATAATTGTGTGTAACAACTGTGTTGTTCCAGTATTGATGCTTATACTGGAAGTTGTTTTATAAAAATGGAAAAGACATAGGAGAGACTTGTGCAACAAATGCAACCGATTATTCTTGAAGAAGCCTTCCAGTTGGTTCTTAAGTAGTTCTGTTTTTCATGTTAAAATTCCTTTGTTTGTTTCTCAGAATGCTTTGTAAGACTTTTATTATTATTATTAAAGGACCCCTCTGAGAGCAGGGACTAACAGCCTGGCACCTGGCCAGGCAGGGAAGCCAGTGACCCTAGAGAGCTGGGGAGAGCCAGTCAGCTCACTAGACTGGTTGGCTGGCTTGGTGAGCCAGCCTGTTCTCTTTCAAAAGTTTTGATTGAATTAGCACATTCCTGTGGAATATTTTGGGTTTCATCAAGTCAGCACTTTGTGTTGGAACACTGTTCTACTGGAAACTTTCTCAGTGGGTCTCCTTAAAGCCGCTTGCTCAGGGGTGGTGCTGCTTTGACATTAGTGCTGCTTTCACTCAGGCTACTCTGCATTTAATTCAGATATGGCAGTGGGTCTAATTATTGGCCAACATATTTACTGAACTTCATTGTAAGGGGAAAAGCTTTTGCTAGTGTAATTTCAGAGAGGGAGAATGTTGAGACATCCAGTGTGTGAGCTGCTGGAGGTTTTTTCCTTACTTAAGGTAACTATTTTGCAGTAACTCTTTTTAAAATACAGTAAGTTAATTTTTTAGACCAAAATGCCAAAACAGAGCAGGGGATCAAAGATCCCAGTGAGGATTACATATATGATTTTTCATTTAAAGCTTTTTCAGCTCTGTTTTGAATGGAGGGATTTGTGTATGGAAAGACTATTATTGACAGAGTATTTAAAAATTAAGGTAGGTGTACTGCAAGGAAAACACATGTGAAACTTGATGTGCTTTTCCTGTCCAGCAATGTATTTTGGCTTTTGCAATGTTTGAATGCCCAGCTAGACAAATATTCACGGTCTGTATAACCAAGTTCAAAGCAATCTGGGCCACAAGAAGTAACTGA